ATTTAGATGTAGATCTAGATCTAGTTTAACAATAGTAATAGCATCAATTATTAGCTCGAACAGTAAACACTGTTTTATTTTTAAACGGCATGAAGTGTTTCTTTTGTCTAGGAGTCTAAGATAGTCTATGAGATAGATCTAGCGCTCGAGGGGTAAATAATTGTAATTTAATTATATATTAGATCTAGAATCTATTTACTATTTACCATTAATACCGATGGAAAGACCCCTTGTAGCATTACAATAAATAACTAGAATGAAAAATTACAGACTATAGACCACATTCAACTTCGTAAAAATAAAGGGGAAAATAATTAAAACAATTTTTTGGGGTTAATATTTTTAAATATATATTTTTTCCTCCCTAAAGTATTAAAAGTTGGATGGATAAACTTTTAACTACCGTATTACTAGATCTAAACTATGATCTAACTTGATCTATATATATCTAGATCGTAGACACATAAACCCCTAGATATAGATATAGACTAGATGTAATAATCTAGACCCACATAATCCTAGGTCCATAGGACTTAGAACTCTATTGGGCTCTATCACTAGACTGTATTATATAAGATAAGACTGTATTAAGTATTACTAATGATGTCGATGATTATGAAATTATAAAAATGATGATTCAGATAATAATATGATTCAGATAATGAGATATGATATCTATTCTATAACAGTTGAATCATGTCTAATGATCATAATATAATATATATAGTCTAGAAAGACTATACATATGTAAATCTAGATCTGATAACAAATTTTGAATTGAAATTTATAGATCTAGACTTTAGTTTACTGACATGAATGATAAAATATCTAAATTTGAAAATAAAACTAAAATAAATTCAATATAAGTTGACTAAAAAAGAATTAGATTTAGATCATTATCTACATAGGCCTATGTCATTTTAGTCAACAAAGAGATAGATCTAATTGTTTCATGAGTTAAACAAGGTAAAAATACATGTTTTTGTAAAGACTTTTTCTATCATTAAGATCTGAGTTTATCATAATGGAGATCTTAACACTAAGCTGAACTCTCTCTTTTAGATAATGAGAAGGCAGCAGAGATGATCACTACTTCCTTGAGTCAGAGACAAGACCTGGTTGAAGGTTTAGATGCTGATGCCATTTTAGACTACCTTTCCCATCATGGTGTGCTTGACCCTTCAATTCTAGTTGGCCTAGGTGAGTTTGCATTTCATCTGCTATGCAGTTCTAATGTAGTCAGTGTGTAAATGTTCAAAAGACTATGACATAGCTTTTCTAAGTACTTTCATTCAACTATTGTATTGCTTTAGATAAAGGTGCAACACCCAAACAACGCAACTCCACTATCATCAGGCATGTTGAGGAGCATGGCACAACTGCGGTGGCACTTTTCATCAATGCACTCCGCCAATCAGGTCAACTTCACCTGGCCAGTTCACTAGATACAGAACAAAGGATCAAACCAGTTTCAGGAGATGGCTACTTTGGAAAGGAAAGACACAAAGGTACGGGCCCAACATTTGAAGCAAATGCAAATGTAAAGAGATCAAAATAAAATGTGATTAATGATTTATGAGAAGAGTGCAAATGACTACAAAATTAAATGACTTTCCCAACAGATGCAAGTTTTGCTGTGCTAGTCCACATCTTAAGCAAGTATTTCAGTATTGACAAAAATGGTTTCAATTCAATTATCCATTTAAAATGACCCTCTGCGTTAATCTCACTAAATGTATTTTTGATATTTATTTATTATTAAAAACTAAAATGATAAAATAAATTTCTAAACCATGAAGAATTTCAGTGAGCAGCAGTCAAGTTTATTAGTTTACCATTAAGCCCACAACAATTAACATAGCTGAATAAAACTGGACTACACATTTTTAACATTATGATTTAACTGTGATATTTTATTACCAAAACCTTTAATTAAATTTTTTTTGGATATCTTTGAACAGGTGAAGTGACAGTCAGGGTGGAACTAGAAGCCTTAAAAATTCTTGCACCCAGAGAACCTCGCACAGAAAAACTGGTTGACACGTCCCTTCTCTCCTCACCTTCCCACCCCACTGGCACTAGTCCAGACTCAAAGACTCCAAGAGATGAGACTGATGATGAAGATTTAGTCAAACCTAAATCATGCTGGTGTTTTTGCTTCTCACGTAAAAGTAAAGCCAAGAAAATGTCACAATCCATGAAGAAGGAAAGTGAGAAGAACAGACTTGATGCCCTGAAAGAAAGCGAAGCCTTGCAAGAAGCTCCTGTTGATAACCCTGTCAGGACATCAGGGCATGAAGAAGTGGAGAGAAAGAACCCTAATGTTAAACCACATAGGACAAAGTCCAAAGAAAAGACAAAGAAAGATAAAGATTCTGGGGCCAAAGTTTCTTTCAAAGACTCCTTCAGTAATAGTTGTGGGAAGTCTAAAGAGCCTACCAGCACGAAAGCCAAACACAAGTCAAAATCAAAACATTCAGGTAAATATTCTGCATCAGACAATAATGCTACCCACCTTCCAGAAGTCCAGGGTGAGGAGACAGTGTCTAATGGTGACCAGCTGACAACTAATGGCATCAGCAAAAAGCCTGACAAAGACAACTGGGACCCTATTGTCATGGAGTATGATCCTAAGTTGGAGCTAGTGAAACTGCGCGCAGGTCAGGAAGAACTAGCTTCTCCTACCCGGCAGTATGGCCAGATGGGCATGATCTGTGAGCAGTGGAAGTCCAGCGGCCGTCACTATGCACACAAGGCATCTCTGCTGTGCAACAGCATCATTCAGGAGCTTCACACCGAGATCATCAAATATTTCGAACAGGACCGCAGCACTCTGGTGCTGGATGTCATTTCTGATAGCACCGCCATTTTAATCATCAACATCTGCATGCTGAAGGCACAGGTAAAGCGCCTGCAGCAGGAAGTTGAAGATGGCAGCCTTATCTGTAAGATGGAAGACATGTTTTTTTCGAAAGTGGATATTATGTCTTTTGATATTCGTGGAGTAAAGTTAAAAATTGTTCTTGATGATCAACAAGTGATTACTGCTCTTTCGGAACTCTCCTGATTTGACTGCTTTTGATGTACTTTTTTTTTAATGCTTCTTACATTTTTTTTAAATAGAAATGTTAAGAGTTGTATCTAGAGAAATAGTCATAGAAGGATGAAAGTGTGCTAGTAGTTTTAACTTAATTTCTAAAGCCTTTATTTGAATTTTAGATCAGATTTAGTCCAATGTCTTGTAGACGGAAATTTTTAGTCCCCAGCTTAATTCCTAAAATAATTATTTCCCTTTAAAAAGCCTTTACACTACAGCTGCCTTCTCATCAATCATTCACATCTGATGCAATGTATTTAAAGTTTCAAATAATACAATTATCTACCATGTTCATCTAACTTTAATGAAGGCTTGGGTCCATCACAATGCTTAAAGAATATGCCGTATGTCCACTTTTTTTTTAGTATGCCAGCCATTGTATGCATCATCCATTAATTAACAAAAAAACAAACTTTCAATTATATATACACAATTTTTATGGTCATATAATTTGTTACAAGGCAGTTTTAATTTGTTTTTTTTTCATGACGCCTACGTTTTTAGAAAGTAATACCTCTAGAAGTTTGAATGGGGGGTGGGCAGCTTTTATGAAGTATCTATTTGTTTCAAAGCTTGTTCACAGTAGGAACAGTGCTTAATCAAGAGCAAAATATCTCTAAATTTGTTTGTAGTACATTAATCTCAGACATAAACTTATTACATTGAAATGTTCAAAAGACAACTGACATATATATATACTTTGTTGTATTAAATTATGTTTTCCCAACCTTATCAGCATTGTCATAATGCAAAACCTGATTTTTATGGGAACTTATGTATTGTTTTAGAACCGAGCTATTCTATTCCTTGTGGTGCTACTATGATTTTTTTTATTGCTGATCATACATTTTGTGTTTCTATAAAAATTACTTTTTTTGTTTAACATAAATAGATAGCAAACAACTTATTAATGTACTAAATGAATGTAAAACACTTTTATTACTTTTTCAGACACTAAAAGATTGGTTTTGAATTATGAAATGTAATTAACACTTTTGTTTTTTACAAGTTAATTAATTATTGCTAGTAATTGTATAGGTATAAAAAAATATCAAACAACATGAGAACACCCATCAAGGTAGGATAAGCAGATAAAGTATTGCTTATATAGATTGTAACATCCATAAACATGTGTGTATTGTCCGATAGCAATGAAATAAAAAATATGAAATAAAAAAAATGACAAATATTATTTAAAAAAAGGAAAAGTTTGTATTTAAACATTTGTAAGGTCCCCATGTGAATTCAAGTTGAGTTGATATGCTTCAATATTGTATTTGCAAATACCATTGTTATTTGCAGCTTACTTGCTGAGTATAGACTTACTACTAAAACACCTTAAAATAAAAGAAAAACTGTTAAGAAGTGGTTGTGAGATTTTTATGCACACCAGCATACATTTTGGAAACCACTGGTCTAAACCTTTACATTTCATCCAAGTAAACCACTATCACCTATTCACTAAAAATGTTTAATTCAGACTCACTGATGTTCATTTTTCATAATGAGAAGGAAATTAATAATAGGCCCTGAACCATTGCCAAGCTTCCAAAAAAATGTCAAGTGATAGTGTTGTATTGTACCCTTCAATCTATTTTTCTAAAGTATACAATTTGAGCACAAATCTGTATCTGATGCTTTATAAAATATCATCCTGCCACCCCCATGATTTTTTAAAATTATTCTTAAACCGGCTAGTGAAAATATAAAAGAAAAATACTTTTAAAAAAACAACAAATGCTTCATGCACTTATGTTTCCCAACAGCCTTGTTGCTAAATTGCATTTTTATCCTCAGGGGACTTGTAAAATTTTTAAAATAACAATCCACCATTTTACAAGTGCCTATCTTTTTTTGTGCTACCAATTAAAATGCTTTATATGTATTTGGGACTTATGAAGTGCAAAAAAAAAAAAAAGGCTAATGCTATCAGCTTGTGATGTGTGTGTTGTTTTTTTTTTTAAAATTATATGGGTGTTCAAACAAACATTACTTTTGCAGAAAAAAAAATGCTTTGTTACATTCTGCCTTAGTGAAAAGCATACATTTTTGATTTGGTAAAACAAGGGAATGGAAGTCATTTTGTTTTGGAAAGTTCTGCATTGAAAGTAAAAGTCTGTAAATGATGTACATATTTTAGGATAGTGTCTTTCAAAATGTGAGCTCTTCACACTGGAGTAATTGTCTGTGTGAGAGTGTGCTTATGAAAGGTCACATTGAGTAAAAGTTGAATGGGTTAAAGGTCACAGTGTGACTCTCAGACGGTGTGTTCAGTAAACTTGTGATTCCCCCCTCTCATGACATAGTTGTTGTAGATAACCTGGACAGTAAGCGCCATTTTATTTTTAGACATGTGATATTTGCAGTAATTTTTTTTTTCAAAGAACAAAAGTGAAGAGAATTCAGAGAATATTTTTGAAATCAAATTCATGTGCCATTGGAGTTTCAAAACATCTAGACCGAAGTCAGAAGTACTTTTATTACTGCAACCGAAACAAAACATGTTCACTAAAAATAAAATTATATACAATCCCCACCCCCCAATATTTGCTTTAGCAAGCAGGGTTCAGTGTATTGAGATAATATATATGCTTGTGTGCTTTATCTTAGTGAATATTCATGTAAAAATCTCTACAATGATCCAGTTATTTGATCTTTTTAGACTTAGTTTACGAAATGCACATTTTTAGTTGTTATTTTGCACCATGTAATCCAATGAACAAATTTGTTTTCAAGACAAGATTTTGTATTTTCTTAAAAGTAGAAGTGGTGAGCAGAGATGTGCAGTCTGGGATTTGTCTAACTGCTGCCTTACATCTTACTTTCTAGTCTGTCAGCAGGTTTTATCAAAGTATCCAAGAACCTTTTGAATTGTGAGCAAGGGTACACAGCACACTATGAAAATTTCCATTAGAGAATCAGAGCACATTGCATCCCATTAGAAAAAGCACATTGCATCCCCATTAGAGAATCAGAGCACATTGTATTCCTATTATCTATGACTTCTGAATAGGGCCTCTTCACCCCAAGTCCCGTATTAGTCTGGACCCCCAATCCTGGCCTGTTATTAGCACCAGAAGCTACAAGAAATATGGTCATGCTGGAGAGATAAAAATTGTTAGATCATAGAGTTGATGCCAAGGATTGTTAACAGGATTATTCTGTTTCTGTGTGTCACTCTTATTCCTAGTGACCCCCCCCCCCCCTCCCTTAGCATTGTCACCAAGTCTATATTCAGAGTGTCTCCCTTGGTAATTGTTAGATTTAATTGCTGTGAGTTTAGATCTATCAAAGGAAATGTGATATTAACTTTGGTACCCGATGTTTTTGTTTCTGCTACAGGCCCATGATAATAAGAAGGGAAGAGAGTGGCAGTAGATCAAGTCAAGACTGTAGTTATGTGTGCTATATATCACATGTACTCAACATATATATCTGTATTTATATAAAAACATACACTCTTTATGTCTACTATTTTTTCCTATGTTCTAGTTTGTTCTCATATTTAAAAAAAAACTGCTACAACATGCTGCTGTATACATGTCCCAAAACAAACTAAAAATATTAGGATGGAGGCTATTTTGACATCTCTATTGTATAAGAGTATGGAATGGGTTGCTAAATCAGCCAGGAAAACCAATGATTTAAAGTCTCTAATTAACATGCATTACAAGATAATCACATGGATATGCATAGAACATAATTATCTTTTGGGGGGGGGGGGGGGGGGGGGGGAATGATTGTAATTATTAGATAGTGTGTATCATTTACTGGTGCAGTTTTTGAGTAGACATTTTTATTATTGACTTAAATAGTTTTACCATTAAAAATTTTTACCTAACCATCCTGTTTTAAGTCAATCTCAGAACATTTACAATATAAGTCTATGAAGTATCTCTATTTAAAAAGAGAATAAAGTTTCAAATATTTTTTAATCGAGTACCTATAAATCAGAAGTATTTGTAAGTAATAATACCTAAAGAATTACTGAAAAGAAATGTGAAAATTAGACACATATTGTTAAAGAAAGGTTTTTGAGTAGCAGACAGGATAGAATTTGTCAGAAGCAGCATAATAAGTACAGTAGATAAAGTTAGCCTCTTACACATCTAGATCTCATTCTCACATTTGAATGAATAGAACAAATGTACAAAAAAAAATAACATTTTTTTTTACAATAAAATTGTTTTGATAGAAAGGTGCATAGATCTATTTTAAAATGTGTTTCTGTTCATTTTTTGGCTGATTTGTTTGACTACTGTACATGATCTAGTTTTTTATTTCAGTTTTATCATTTTGTATCATATTTTTATGTCTATTTAATTCTTCTGGAGTATTTACAGTACTGTAAGGATATGTTGGTTGTGAGTGCTAAGATTTAAATTAAAAAAATATAAATTAAATACTATAAAACTTGTTTTCTATTATTTATATTCATTCTTTTTTAATATGCTTTTTTTTTTTTAAATACTTAATGCTTGAATACCTGTATGTGTTCTGCTTTGGTTACAAGAATATAATTTAGATTATTTTTACACAGGAAGCTATCATATATAGACTGATATCTCTGTTTACATAGCTTTCAGACGTATGTAAGCATGGAAGAATTAGATTTTATTTATAACTATTTGATTGTTAGTATAGTTGCATGTGTCTTAAGGCAACATGGAAAGATGAATCACCCCTATAAATGTCAACAAATAAGCTTGATTAAAGTACACTGAATATGTTTTGAAAGCATAATGGTACCATACAAATACACTTTTAGCATGAGACTTTAGTCCAGAGTTGGTATAATAGTCAAATGCATATAATTTAATTTTAATAATGGATCTAAATCTAAGACTATTTTTTTTTTCTGTTATGAAAAGATTTTCTTTAGAAAGGCGTTAAAATTGTATGTAAATTTCTATGTTATTGTACAACTACCAGAGACTTGGATAATACTACCTGCAGAGAAACTCTTATCTTTGGTAATACCTTACATGACACAATGGGATTTTATCTATATGTTTGATAAATCCTCCATAAATACTGAATGTATGATGGTAAGGTAAAGGCTAAATGAAGAACAGCACAGAAGTAAAAAAAATAAATTCTTTAGTTATTCCTTTGATGTTCCAAAGCAAATAAACATATTTTACAGCATAAAGATGAACCATAAAGAAAATAACACTTCATTTTTACTTGTCATAATTACAAGCCTAATGAATAATTGAAGTGTTTTTTTTTAATGAAAGGTATAGCGAGGGGATGACATTTTTGTTTTCTGATTTGTTTTATATTGGAAGTAATGTAACGCTTACACTCAATTTGACTTGGCTTAAGATTCAGCAGTAAATGCCTATATCTATAGTTACTTACCTAAATACCAGATTTGGGTCCATCCCATCGTTGGCCACTAGCCAAGCTCCAAATCTGAAAGCACCAGCATAGATAAAGAAGATCATTCCTTGTGAAAAGGCGTAAGATAGACCATAGACATGGGCCTGCTTGATGTTTTCTCTGTAAGAAAAAAACATTGGTTATAGTAGCTCTATAATTGCATGTTATCATAATTAGTAACAGATTTAAGCCTTTGACAAAACACAAGAAAGAAATTCACCACATGTATTAAAAAAAAACATTTTTTTGTAAAGCACATCATTCATGCTTTGGCATGCTCAATGCACTGTGATCCAATCTCTTTGGTGGACATATGTGAATAGCAGATAACTCTCAGGTTATCATGCTGCCATTAGGTGCTCAGCAAGCACAACTTAAATTGAATTGGGATAGGAACTCAAGGCTCTTTGATAGGTAGCCAAGTAGTTGATGCCACTCAGCCATACATCCCATACTTAGAGAAGAAGAAATGAGGAGAGTTAGTGCCCCTGCATTACCAGTTTCTGGCCAAACATAATTTTTATTTTTTGGCAACTAATAGAATGCCTGATTTTCAACCAACTAACAGTATACAATGCAGTTATTTGGGCTTCAGGTAATTCATGGATGAATTTTGTGGATGACCTAAAACTGTGGTGCCACACAGAACTAGATGTGTTTTTTGCTATTTAGTACATACATACTTTCTGGTTGTGACTCAAGTCAAAATGAGACAGACTTACTTGTGAGGTTTGATTAACTGATGACTATATTGGTCAAAGAAATATTTTTCTCTTGTTAGAGATTGTACAGTCCTAATGTTCTCCACACATTCACTAGCAGTCTGAAAACAAACAGTTTAATAAATTACAACTACCTTGCACATCTTTCTGTAAGCTATATTTGACAAGAAGCAATCATTTTACTCCAGAACTTGGCTGGTCCAATTACACAAACATGCCCTGCATTAAAAAAATATAGAAAAAAAAACACAAACCTTTCCTGCCTCTTCTAATAGCTTGGAGTCTCTTTCTTGATTTGCTTTTAACAACTTCATATTGAGCATTCCTTTGATAGAGAAACAAATAGTTCAAAAGTTAGAAGTTTAAGTTTTGAAATTAAAAATATATCACAATTAATTATGAGGAATTAATACGTTTTTTAAGGACCAATATCAGTGTGTATTTGTAGTCTGGTTACTTGTAAAATTTAAGATTATATCAGGAAAAATCTAGTGCATGACTATTGCTAGTGAAAGCAATTTAAGTAAATGGATATTATAGAGGAGAAGAGAAAAAAACGTTTGATTTAATTATTTGGTACAGATTGTTTCAGCGTGACACTAACCTGCTAAAGCTAAAAGAGGGACACCACCAAGAACAGCTAGAGCAAGTTTCCAACCAAATGCAAAAGCTATACCAATGCCAGCTCCCATAGATGTAATAGACTGGACTATTGTTGCTAGACGAATTCCTGTAGCCTTTAAAAGAAATATTTATACAAAATATATTTTAATTTGAACATTCTGTTATATTGAGGCTTTTCCTCATGCTAACTTCCTGTTTTTTTCTTCAATAAACAAAAGAATATTTCATAATTTTCTTGTGGGAAGGATCCAAGGTAAAGATCTGGTGGAAATGTCCATGAAGTGGAACATGGAATGACTCATAAGAAAGAGCAAAACTGGCCTCTCGGTGTGTACCTCATAATCTATAGGTCAGGGATTTCTCAAAGATATTCTAACTAAATCTGGAAATTCAGCCAAACCATCCCACAAATAGCAGAGGTGGTTGTCTAAATATTATGAATGATTCGGAGATAAGTCCCCTATGGAATGTTGATGATAATATAATCAAAATATAAAGGAATTTTCAAGGCGTATGACCTTCAGCCTCTGGAGATCCAGGTGCAGAAACAAATCACTAAACGCAGCCTCAGAGAGAAGCAGAAGACTTTTGTGCTCATTTAAAGCTTTTGTTTATAATTGGCTTATCACTTGCGTCCAAATACTTTTTTCTGAATGGATAATAAAACTTGCAGGCTATACCTTACCTTATTTTTTTCCTCTTTACATCAGATTCATAAAAAGAGATAAATCTAAGATAAGATTATTATTAAAAAGGTTCCGAGACTTGAAACTCAAAGCTGAAAATCAAGGCCATTAGTATTTTATTTGCAGTTGCTGCAGAATTAACCTTTTCTATTTAAAACCATTCTTACATTTTTAACCATAGAAGCATCTGTAGCAAGCCTTGTGGTCAGTGCTCCTGTAGAATGTTTGGGATTGTCAAAGTACTCAACATCTTGACGTAATATGTTCTGAAAAGTCAACTGTCGCAATCTTTTTGTCAACCTTTCACCTGAAAATCCAAAAGCAACATTCTGAAAAGAAAAAGAAAATCAATGATAATGATTCCTTTATATAAAGACTACAAAAAAAAGGTGAAACTTTTGGATACATCTAATAGTCTGACCTGGCAAATGTTTGCTACAAATGTAATACCCCCAAGTGCTAGGAACATCATGCTCCAAAAGAGACCCTGGTCCAACAGATCCTGTCCAGTTTTACCGAAAGTCTGATGATTATAAAGAAGAAGGAGATAGTTAAAGCTCATTTACATATGCAGTATAAAGTATTTTTGTTTAATATAAACAAATAAGAAATATTCTTGGCATGAAAAAGGTTTAATAAAATGTACATATTAAACTAAAAAAAAATTTAATTTTCTAAATTTCTTTAAAGAGACCTCGATTCGAAAATTAGATAATGTATATGTTATAAATAGTAGCTTAGCTTTATAATTAAAATATATCTCAAATGTGGTAGTCTAAGTTCATTGCATCAGTTTTATGCATTACATCTTATCTTGATAAAAAAAAATCATTAGCCAAAGCTCCTATTTCTGGTTTGAAACATTTTTCATAGTCTAATCAAAGAGCAGTAGCTCTGAATAAAAAAAAACATTTCAAAAAAATAATAAAATTTAAGATCTAATAATAATAATAAGTAAATAAAAACTGTAAAAAAAATAGAATGATATGTCTAATTGAAAAATAAAATAAAAACTATAAAAATACCCTTAGATTATAAAAAAGCTTCGAAAATACTAATTTTCCTAAGTAGGGCTTATACACTAGGGGTTATGGGCCATTTTGTTTGAAAAATTCTTTAAAAAATTAAAACAAATAGTAATCATGCTCTAGTTCTCAATCTAAATGCAGCATGATGAGTTCTTCCTATGTGATCGTTTTAAAAAACTGTTGCATTATCCTGCATTAGAATTTAACCGTATAAGAAACACTGTACTGTGATAGAGGCTATTGGGTTAAGATAATTTGACTCATAAACTATTCAAGTCATATGTTAGTCAAAATGAAAATATTTAATGGATTTTTTAAAAGTGATTTGCTTAGAAATTTTAAATTTATTTTTTAATTTTTAAGAGTAATATTAATTATGGGTTTCATAATTGTAGAAACTCACAGTAATAATTTCACTGAAAAAAACTGCATAAACTGGAAATACAAGTCCATTTGCTATAGCACCAATGCATCCAAGTAAGATGAATGGCCATTCTTTCAGATTTGATTTAAACATGCGAAGAAATCCTGGCTTTAATACATCCTGAAAAAGATAATCAAATTTTGAAACAAAAAACCTTTATAACACTCTTTCAAATTAATAAATTAAATTATGTTAAATTAAATTAAATTAAATATGTGTTGTTTGCTTATCATTGTGAATATACTTAAGTAGGCCTATCATTGTGAATATACTTAAGTAGGCCTATCATTGTGAATATACTTAAGTAGGCCTATCATTGTTAATATACTTAAGTAGACTTATCATTGTGAATATACTTAAATAGGCTTATCATTGTGAATATACTTAAGTAGGCTTATCATTGTGAATATACTTAAGTAGGCCTATCATTGTCAATATATATATATATATATATATATATATATATAAGTAGGCCTATCATTGTCAATATATGTAAGTAGGCCTATCATTGTGAATATACTTAAGTAGGCCTATCACTGTGAAT